CGTTTTTCATTAAACATTTGGATGGGTATTGTAGGTGACAGGTTTCTAGGTCCTGTTGTTTTACCAAACCGATTAACAGGCGCTGCTTCCCTCAACTTTCTGCAGAACACACTGTATGAGTTTTTGGAAGACATTCCTTTGAATCAGAGGCAACAAATGTGGTTCCAGCATGATGGTGCTCCAGCTCATTTTTCCATGGCCGTTAGAGAGCATTTACACCAAACTTTTCCACATAGATGGGTAGGAAGGGCCGGACTTATGTTATGGCCTCCAAGATCGCCTGATCTGAACCCTCTAGATTTCTTTATTTGGGGATATTTGAAGACATTAGTGTATGGTACTCCTGTAAATAGCCTGGAAGAGCTGCAGCTACGGATTAATCAAAAGTGTCAAGAAATCCAAACCAAGGAGGGTGTTTTCGAAAAAGTTCGAATATCGTTGAGACGAAGATGTCGTGCCTGCTTGGAAATGGACGGAAGGCACTTTGAACTTCTTCTGTAACTTTGTTTTTTGTTTGTTAAAAGGTTCCTTTGTCGGTTTATTACTAATAAAATAAAATGTTTGAAAAACGAATAGTGGTCCATATCTACGCAACCGTTACTTTGCGGACCCATGTTTATTAGGACTTTTCTGCTTATTTTGGTTCATACTATTACCTCCTGAAATATTTTACACTCTTTTTTTAACACCCTGTATGTATAGACAGTACAATATTGTAAACAGTCGGACTCAAGTCTTGTGTGAAGTGTTCAGGTTAAAATTATGACTTTTTTTCTCAAAATCTAGGTTCGACCGCACAAAAATTACTTCAGATTCAGCATCCTTGAAAATATCTTAACCTGAAACGAACATTCTTAATTTTTCTAAACCTGTGAGTATAAATGGTACATCTGAGTGTGCAACCAATATTTTTGAATAACATTAACTCAAATTCACAGGAAGCTGACCAGGAAACCTGAAAACCTAACCTCAAATCCAAAATAAATAAGTTAAAAATCCACAGAAACGATATATTTTCTTCAACAAAAGAAATTGAGTATGTTCGTTTTAGGTTAAGATTTATAAATTTGAGGTTATGTTTTGGGTCTAGATTCATGATTTAGGAATATGTTTAATCTTTATGATTTTTTTTTGTTTGGCAGCCTTTAGTACATAATTTTCCTTTTTTTTTCATTTTTAGATACCGAATATGTCAAACTTCGTATGATCGAGTTTGAGGCTAGAGATTACTCGGCCATTTTGAAAAAATTCTAGGCATATATTCCAATTACCTCACCGGAACTTTATAGTACAGGTAATTTCGGAAAGAATAAAAAAAAATCAGTACTATTTGATTAGTTTTGACGCGTGACTCCAATTTTTTCCAATATTTCCCACTGTGCGACGTATCCAATTCGCTCGCACGCGTTGTCACATTGCCACGTCCTCTCGAATAGTATTACAAGCTACGTCAATACGATGTCGCCGTTGGTCGATGTAACGAACTTCCATGGAATACACAACACTTTGCACATATCCCCACAAAAAGAAGTCTAAAGGGGTGAGATCCGAGGATCTAACTAGTCTGTCACGACTTATCCAACTATCGGGGAAAGTAATGTTTAGAAAGTCGCGCTCTCTCCAAAAAAAGTGAGCGGGGGCTCCGTCGTGCAGTAATCACATATTTTGCCGAACATTTAATAGCACGTCTTCTAATAACTCCGGCAAGCAATTTTGCTAAAAATCTAGATATGAAGCAGTGTCTAAGCGTCTAGGTAATTCAAAAGGTCCTATTAAAGTGTCATTAACGATACCGTCTCACATGTTTACTGAAAACTATTGCTGAAAGACACCGCGACGTATTTCGTGTGGATTATCGATAGTTCAGTGGTGACTGTTGTTTACGCTACGTACACCATTTCGACTGAAATATGCTTCATCTATAACAAGTATTTGCGCTGTAAATTGAGGATTAATTTGCAAAAAGCTCGACTTACGGAAACACGTTGAACACGTTGAATATGAAACGGGTACAACAGAGCTTCTCGTAATATCACACAACAAAATGTGAAATATTTACTTGCTGTGCGATATTTCTGGTGACAATGCAGATCTTCGAAGAAATCTGAAATCATCTCTTCGACATTTAAGATTCTTATTGGTCGCTCTGGGTCATTGTCGCGACTTCGATGCGGTTGTACTCCACCGGTGTCCAAAACTCTTTGCACTACAGCAACAAATGTTCGCGGTGTGGGGGTACATCGTTCAGGATATCTTGCACGGTACACTCGACAAGCTCTGTGGGCATTTTCGTTTGCTTCGTCATAAATTATAAACATATAATATTCGTGATTGCTAAATAAATGCGCCATTTTCAAAATAAAACTTGGAAATATGGCTATTAAATATACACTTGAAAAACAGCTCTGCAATCACTACAACAATGTATTACAAACTGACTTTCGAATACAGTCCGGCTTCACAAGAAACCTACAATTCGTAAAAAGTGTTACAGAATTGTTTGTAAGTACTCGCCGCGATAAAATACATGTATTTCAGCAGTTCCAAAACAGTTTTAAACACATTTTTAATTAGTTTTTTTTCTCTATGACCGGAGCAATGGGAGGTGGTGACAACTATTACTCCCGAGAGATATTACAGCTTCCTTCATAACAATGTAAAGAAATATGATCAGTTTTCTGACTCCAAAAACAAATTTAAAGTGAATTTTAACCTAATTTCAACATAAAAACAAATTGAAAAACTGAAATGAGTAGAAAATTATAATGCAAATAATTTGCCAAGCTTTGACTTTGAGCGATCTGAATATACAGCGTGGTAAAAAAGTTCTGCATAAAATTAATATTTTCATTAAACAATTTTTTTTCGAAAAACGGTGAGACCCGTCGATTTTTATTTGATCCAGGGCACCTTGTTATGTGGAAATTTTTTTTTTCGATAATCCACTTACGGCAGCGATGACATAATTTTTTTTTAAATGACAACGCATATTTTTTTCGTTCGAAATTGATGACAGTGATAATTATCTAAACAACGGTGTGAAAATTTCGATGTCTTACATAACAATTTTTTTTAGAAAAATGCACCTTAAGTTCTTATAAGTGATAATTGTCTACTTACACTATTAATGGCTCCGAAAAGGACAAAGTTGACAAAATTACATTTCAAACGAGTAAAATTACACTAATGTTTGTGTAAGTCTAGCGAAATTGTTCGAATTGCCCACCCTGTACCATTTGGCATTGTCCTAAGCGTGTGTAAACGCCGTCTACACTTCGTTCAAGCATTCCCGGGTCGATTTGATTTATTTCAAAACGAATACGGTTTTTAAGTTCTTCCAAATCACCTGGTCTGTTTGTGTACACACGCGATTTCAAATAGCCCCACAAAAAAAAGTCTAGAGGTGTTAAATCAGGCGAACGCGGAGGCCACTCGATTGTTCCGCGTCGCCCGATCCACCGGCCAGTAAACGTGTTATTCAAGTACTCCCGTACTTGCACTCCATAATGGGGCGGTGCACCATCCTGCTGAAACCAAATTCTTTCCTCAGGAATATCAGGATCCTCGTTGTTCGGGAATAACTCTGCTAAGCTTGGGACCAAATCGAACCGCAGGAAATCCAAATAGCGAGCAGCAGTTAAATTTTCCTCGAAAAAATACGGGCCTAAAATACGACGCCCTATTATTCCCGCCCAAACGTTCACCTTTCGGGGGTGCTGATGATCTACTTCTTGCACCCAGTGCGGGTTTTCCTGAGACCAATACCGGCAGTTATGTCGATGCACCGATCCATTAAGATAAAAAGTAGCCTCGTCAGAAAAAATTATGTTCTTGAGGAAGTCGGGGTCTCCGTTACATCGATGCATTAAATCTTCACAAAAGTGGAGACGGCGGTCTGGGTCGTCCTCAGTCAATGCATGTATCAAGTGACCCTTATAGGGGTGAAATTTCTCTTTTTTGAGAAAGTTCACCACAGTTACATGTGAAATATCATTGTTCAATGCAATCGACCTTGTACTAGAATGAGGGTTGTCCTGGAGCTCCACCAGGATATTCAATCTAGTTTCATCATCTACTCTAGGACGACCCGCACGAGGAGCATCTTTCACACTACCAGTTTCCTCAAACCTTGCCAGTACCCTACTAACCGTAGATTGCGTAATTGGTGGTCTGTCAGGGTACGTTGCATTAAATAATTGGCAAGCTTCTTGATGGGTTCGTAACTTATCGCCGAAACCAATCATCCTCAAAATATCAATTCTTTCGCGTTCACTAAGTTTTGCCATTTCGAATTAAACGATTTCACCAAAGAATGTTAAATCGGTACTGATTTTTAGTCTTCAATATTTCAGGTAATCTACTCCTTTCAAGTAAACATTTCTTTGGATCTTTTTTTTTTGGGGAATTTATCGGCAAACTCGAAGACAAAAAGTCGACCTTAATTTGCTACATACTATTTGGATTTTGTGCGGTTGAACTTGGTTCTAAATTTTGCAGTTTAATCAGGATCCTGACAATATCTGATGAATAATTCCGCAAATATTACATAACACCAGTTGCAACTTAAGTTATCTGAAATGCTTTCTGCCGAATAAATTTTTTTCTAAGGCATTTGATCCGTAAACAGCAAATTATTGCATTCAAGAACTTAAGGTGCATTTTTCTAAAAAAAATTGTTATGTAAGACATCGAAATTTTCACACCGTTGTTTAGATAATTATCACTGTCATCAATTTCGAACGAAAAAAATATGCGTTGTCATTTAAAAAAAAATTATGTCATCGCTGCCGTAAGTGGATTATCTAAAAAAAAATTATTTTCCACATAACAAGGTGCCCTGGATCAAATAAAAGTCGACGGGTCTCACCATTTTTCGAAAAAAAAATTGTTTAACGAAAATATGAATTTTATGCAGAACTTTTTTACCACGCTGTATATTTGAACACATTATAACATTTAAATCGAGATTGTCATAGCACAGTTGTAAATAAAGCGATCCATTATCAGAATATTTTTATTATAAATTATTATTTAATAGATTTTGGTTGACCTAAATATGTAATTGAGAATAACTTAGCCACCATAGTCGTTATAAGAAATAACTACAATAGTAATTCTAACTAAATTCGTACTATTTCGCACAAAAGTAATGAAACAAGGAGAATTTTCTAAACGATCCACTCTTACATTTCATCAGTTTGAAACACATCATTGCCAAATTAAATTTGATTTTATCAAACTAAATCAAAAGATTTGTTTCATTACAAATGTGTTCATTGCACATTTACAAACTAAATATCACTGATCATAAAAATATATGTTTTCGAAGTGATGCAGACTTTTATAAACCAAATAATAACAGACTTATTAATAAAAAATAAGTTTTAGTGAGATTGATATATTAAAATAAATAGAGGCATAATCTCAATCTATATTTTCAATAAAACATATATTTTCAGTTATTTTATCAAAGTTAGGTAGTTTCGTTTTACAGCCAAAATATTAAGTAAAAAAAAGTCCAATTCTGTATTCAGTCTCTCAAGTAGCACTTATCAACTATATGTACATAATGAAGCTACACTTTCCTGGAACCACTGTTTAATATTTTTTGTGAGTTATAAGCGCATCGTTGTAATCTTCCTTGGGTTGGTCTTTGTCACCCCATCCCCAAATTTCATGGGTGCCATCTCCTGTCCTTAGAACACGCTTCTTAACCATATCCTCTGAGACCGTTTTAAGGTCATAGGCCCAACCTATTTTAGCAAAGAAGTCAATGAAGGCAGCAGAGAAGTTTACACTGTATTTTCCCAACTCAGAAGTTTTATAGTCCCATGGGAAGGTGTGATGGTAATTGTGCCATCCTTCACCCAGAGCAAGGAGAGAAACTGTCAGGTTTTCAGCTGGGTTAATATACCTATAATTGAGTTCAATTAATTTAAAGAATTCATTAATTTCGGATTATCTTACCTATCATAGGGTTTATGTCCATAAAGATGAGCAGCTGAGTTGACTAACCAGGTGGCGTTTAAAGTAAGAATGTATCTGAAGATATTGATACAGAAGGCATTGACAAAAGTTTCGTTCCAGAGATACATTGGAACCATTGTTGGAAGAATGAAGCATGCAAAGGGCATCAGAATCAAGTAGTAGCGGTCTTGGAAAGCAAGAATAGGGTCTTCATACAAATCAGACATATCAATACCCTTTCCTTTGTTCTTGACATCGGGATGTTTGCGACAAAGGAGCCATCCGACATGAGAAAAGAAGAATCCGCGTTTGGCATTGTGAGGATCAGCATCGGTTTCGCTGAATTTGTGGTGGACTCTGTGATCCCTTGACCATTCTATTACAGAATTCTGTAACAATAAATAATTATAATTGGAGATTTAAAGATAAATTACGCAGCAGTGACTTAACGTACCTCAAAAGCCATTGTGTTAAATACAGTCAAAATAATTCTTAGAGGCACATTCGCTTTGTAAGAACGATGGGCCCAGAGTCTGTGAGCCCCAGCAGTGACACCCAATCCACCAAGTTGGTATAGAATAATAGCTAAAAACAAAAAAAGAAAAAACAAACATTTAAAAAATGTATAAAACGAGAAGCATCTGTTTCGAAAATTTCCAGATCTGTTCTTAATAGCAAAAAATAGAATTTGTAAAAAATTAAATTGATCACAATTATGGTATTACGTTATATGTCAAGTTGAGTTAGGTTAGGATTAATGATATAGAAATTAAGAAAAAAAGTACATAATAAGCTTTGTTCCCAGTGAATTAAAAAGTGTTTCCAAAAGTCAATCGCATTTAATTCGAATCAATGAATTTCAAACCTTCTCTATTACATCCGAATATTTTGCATTACTCTAGAAATAAAGCTGTATAAACATGGGTCGTAAAACGCTTCAGTTTTAAGATACAAATCGTTCACAATTATTTTGTTTTTTGTAGCGATGTAAATATTCTTTAATTATCTACTTTTGACATTTTCCAATTTTGACTTTTGACCACGTTATTTTAGTCAAGAACGATGTGTTCCTTGATGAAACTTTTTTATACGAATTATTGAAGTTTCAAATTGCAAATCTTATCTGCAAAAGTAGAACATTATACGTTTATTTGTAACTAAAATACAAAACAAAAATGGTAAAAATCTATTTTAAAAACCTATGTCTACTTGAACTTTTTTTAGAATGAGTGCTAATGTTGCTAAAGCTCAAAAACCCAGTTCATTCTGTATATGTACATCTTGATGAAAGTGAATGCACTCTTTAAAATTACCCATAACCTAACAATTTAAAGCGTTTATCTACCACCCTCCATATCTCCCGCATTTTTCCCGCAAAGGAGTTAACATAACACATTTTCAAAAAGTTCAAGCTTTAGAAGCAGCTGATTTCCCCAATCATCTTGAATTTTGCAATTGGTTTCTAAGTGCAGCAGAACTTTATTAACAAAGTGCTCTGGACGGATGAATGCTATTTTACTCGAGCTAGCATTTTAAACAGGTAAAAAACATAAGTATTGCTTTCTCAAAAACAATAAGTGCCTACCTAGGTTACACCAAAGTTTAGATTTATACTAAAGTTTACATTTATTATGTAAACTTTGGATATACGCAACTGCATATAGATTAAGAATTTAAATTCTAATAAATACTGCGTCCAATTTATAAGTAAAATATTAGTGTCCAGTTTATCTCAATTTCATTAAAATATTGCGGTATTTTGCCAAGGAGTATATTAACTATTAACGGTAATTTTTTTCCATTCGCTTCTACTCAAAATTATTGTCATGTTTTCAAGAAATACCAACATTTTATTTAAATAATTTGTTCCAAAGGTAAAGCATAAATGTCCGCGTGATACGGATTGATCCAATTTCAGTCAACTTATCTGCTTTAGGTAATTAAAAATTATAAACAAACACTAAATAATCACTAGACTAACCGGCGCTGTATGACCTCGCATGAATCTCTCATGTTCATGAACTTGGCTCGACCCAAACGACTTGCACGTAGTATCTCAATGAAGTAATCAATGGAATTTAAAATTATGCAATATTGACAGATACACCATCAGTACTGGAAATTGGGACCTTCCCGCGATATTTTGATGTACGTAACTATTTATATTACAAATAAAATACATTTTAAAACAGAGAACTACCGATTTATCAAATGAAGCTTAAGTACTATTTAACTAAATTTAACCTGATATGTCACTAATTCTTTATTTTTATTGGCAATATTGGAAAATACATAAGTATTCTAACTTTTGGTAAATGGTCTATTGGAACAAATGCTGAAAGACGATTAGTTGTTTCATATATTTGAATAAAATGTTAAACGGATATATTCCTTAAACTTGACTTTCAAAATGGTGAATTTGATTTGTAAAAGATTGAATTTATTGTATTAACTATAATACAAAGTTTATTTATTTGAATTATATTCCATAGTATGAATTATCAACTTACCATATATGGATGTAGCTATCTTGGCAGAAGTAAACATTAAATAAAGCCCGTATACAGCCACAGCATGAAGATAGGCAAAAAGGATGATATTCCTCCAAACCAGTTTAAGTTTGCGGTCACTTGGTTTGACCACCTCTGGTGGAATAACTTTTGCAACTACCTCCTCGTCGTGCTCGTGGAGAACGCCAGTAGGCATAGAAATATTTGGCGCCATTTTGATAATCTGCTAAACAAAAAGAAAAAATGTTTACACAAAAAATATTCCAAAACATTTTCGGAGAAATTTTTTATAACAAAATATAAATTTGCAAAATTATAATACCAAAATCCAAGAAACCCAGGAATACTTCAGATTAGAGCTAATTTATTTTTATATGCAAATTCATGCGAATTCGTAGAATAATACCAATGGGTTGTCAAATCACCATGTCATATGCTACTGTATTACATAAATATCATCGCCACATTTGAAAAACAAGTCGGGAAAATATTTTAGATTTTCAAAATCACAACAAGTTTCATAAGAATCTTCCAGTTAACAAAATAACATCACAGTTCATTATCTCTATATTTTAAGAATACAAGTATGAGCAATGTAGGTATTGCAAAAGCATTTCAAATTTAAATAATTTATTACAAAAATTAAACAGTGACATTTTAAGTACCTACTGCGTTTTATTGCGGTTCTATATCTTAAAAACAAAGTTTATTAACCTAAACCTAAGCAAAAGCAACGCCGTCAATATATATGTTTATATAAAATTCTAAATAAAGTTTTTCCTTGTGTAGTTCGCTTTAAATCTTCCGAGATATAAAATGTGTAGATATAATTTGCACTACCTATTTTTAATATATGGGGCATTCCATGCCAAATCACAGGTCGTGAACGGACCATTTTTAATTTTCCTGATTTTTTGGTATTGTTTGGCACCCATTTAGAGTTGATTTCATGAATTTTTTTAAATTTTTATTTTAACCCTTCAAGAAGTTATGGCCATTTGAATATTTTGGGTAAAGAATTGTCAAATAGTGGGATCTTTCTTATTCTATTATTTTCGCATCATAACTTTTTTTTAATTCTGTTTGAGATGCAGTTTTATAAAAAAAAATATAAAAATACATAATACATTTTTAGTTTTCTCAGGCGCTTTTTTTCTTCAAAAAATCGTCTTTCAGTATACAAATTTATGGGACAGGTTCTAGTGGGATCTTTCTTATTCTATTATTTTCGCATTAAAAAAAATTATTTTGGTACCTACCTACTTTAATTTTTTACAGATAATGTACGCCATTAAAACAAATTTTATTATAGAAGTAAATCGCGATGACTATTAAAAATTCCATATTTTTAGAACCACCTCTACTAATATTGTCATTATTAAATATCTAAATTTGTATGGACACATTTTTTTACAAATAAGTGAATTAACAACTAGAGGAGTCAAATCCTTCGAAGTAGCGTTTGAAACACGCACTAACAATGACACATTCATTTTAATTTTACTTTTATAATATAGGAGTAGGTACTAGTTCTCAGTTATAAAATATCTTTCAAGATTTAATCAATCAAAGCCCAACGAATTCTGTCCAAGAGCAATTCCTACAGAAACCTTCAGCATTTATTTATCGCTAATTAATTAGTCAGGTTTCCCAATCATTTCTACTAATTACAAAATGGAACACAATCGCGCTTCTGCTTTCTGGTACTTTTATCGACTGTTATAAAATATTGCTGGAGAATTTCACAAAGGTCACGTCACGGGTCATTGTGTTATAGAATCATCCGATTTGCGAATGTCGTTGATCAGCAAACGTGTGTTCAAAACGTGAATGCCCGAAAGTTGCACACGCAGTGACCCAAAATTAATATTCGATTAACCTTCACAGGCTGATATAAGCCGTCTAAAAATAATCTCCTTTAAATGAACGACATATAAGTATTTATAACACATTAAAACGTGGTATTTGTAACTGGAAATTAACTTTTATTCTCCAAATTTTACCGATTTTTAAGTAAGAATAAAGCTAACCACACACCGAAAGTGTTACGTTTTTATGGTAGACCAGTCACCATCAGCAGACCGGTGCAAATTTGGAAAACTATATTTTGCCGACATTTTATTCGTGATAACAATAAAAAAATATAACTTATAAAGACTTTATAAATAAATATACAATATACCTAAGCTATAAATTGCATCCACAACAATCAGATAACTCACAAGATGAACAACGGCTTATTAATGATTTGTTTTCCCTATGAATTATTTATTTTTTCCACAGATTTAAAAGTTATCTAAATGAAAGAATTGAAGTTAATCGTTTTTATACGTGTCCATTGAAAACAAACGAAATAGGATAGAAACATCATTCATTTTACACAAATATTTGGAAAAAATTACAAATGCAACATGAAAGATGACTATTTTTTCCTTGCAAGGCACAGTGTCGGGTCAAACAAGTTTTCATAAACTTAGCATAGCACAAGTACGGTTGGCTGAACAATTAGAATAATAAATAAGATATTACGATATTTTTGCGTAGAAAAACTAGGTATATGCAGTCCTGATCGAGTCAAACGGACATCGGATTGAGCAACTCCAAAAACGTATAACCATGTAGATTTACTTTGTTGGCAATTGATTCTCTACATTTGACTTTGAACTGACCTTAACCCAGACCTGCGCGGGTCAAACAGACACAGCATTCGGAATCACCGACCCCAAAAAGATATAGATACCATGGTCTTGTCTTTCGGACCTCCCACTCTTTTGTGGGGTTGTAGATATAAACTAATTCAGAAAAATTCTATTTTATTTCTAAAAATTCTATCAAATTGAGTCACACAATACTTCAATGCCAAAAATCTAGGTACGAAAAAGGTAGCCTAAGCTCAGGAAATAGCCCTAACTGCTGATATTGCGGGAAACAACTAATCTATGCTCCAACTAGCACTGAATTAGATTAGCATTATTTAATAAACAGTTATTTATTAGTTAATAATTATCTAAAATAAAAAGTGAAACGAATAGCCTAAATACTATTAATACAAAAAGACATAGCTGACATACTGAAATTGTGAAATAGTGTAAGTAAGCTCTTAAATGAAATAGCTTGTTTTCCTGTTTTAATATCACTCTTGACAAACATCAACTCGTAAAAATAGCCATGACAGAAAGATACTACCATTTCTACATTTTACTTAGGATTGCGTTTTCAAGTGGCCTCTTTGTAAATGGATTAATGAACACCAATAGAACAAAGTAAAAAAAATTGAAACATCAGTGTCGAAAGTGTTGACAATATGATCGTTAAATTTGGATACATTACTGAAGGCACGTACTAAGGACAATTATTGTTTTAAATAATATCTATTTATAAATATAACAACATCGCTTAAGGCAGAGTGTGAAATATATCTATCAGATAGGTACTTATAGATAATATTACTGTAACTGAAGAGGAATATTCAGGATGCAAAACAAAAACATTAGTACAAAGATGTTATTGATTTGTCCGATGAAAATTGATGACGTCGAAACTGAAATGAGTCTGTACATCGAAATAAAGTACTACGTAATTGATTTCCTTTATCTTTATTCAATTATCATTGAGGGAGTTTTATGAAAATATATTACTCGTAAAATGAATACAATAACAAATTAGGATATTTAAAAGATGTCAGCATATATCATTTAAAATTGAAATAGGCTGAATAATTAATAACTTAATTTATTACAAACGAATAAACTAAAAAACAAATACCACTTAATAATTTAACAATTTTCTTATTGTTCTGAAGAATTGTATTTAAATCGTTAGCTTTGCACACAATGAAAGTACCTGGTATAAAATGTTACAATTACTTTTAAAAATATTTTTAAAAATACAGTAGCGAAAAATGGTCAATAATATTCGTTTTATAAATCAACAATTATAATTATTCGTACATATTAAAGAACAGTGTATACACAAACGTATTTCAAAAAGTGAAGGATTTTTCTAATTAATATATTTATCAGGAAGAACTAAAAAAAATCCTATCAAATTTTGACATGTCTTTTTTTTCTCACAATGTTCATCGATCTTTTAATATTATATTCTTGAAGTAGAATTTCCTGTAAATTTCATAGAGAATCCTGTCAGTAAAATCTTTATATGACAGCAAATGTTAAAGAGAAATTTGTTATACATTCAATTTAGATAATACGTATCCATAAATTGAATAGAAATAAATTGCGTCTATAGATCCTACGTTTTTCGAAATTTGATGTAAACTGAACATAATAAGCATTTAGGGTTCGTTGAAACTATACAGTACATCTACGTAAAAAGAATTTGAGGGTGCTAAATATGTCAGTGTTGTTACTTTTTGACCATCTTCTAGAGGTGGCACAAAAAATAAACTAAAAAAGAATATTTGATTTCTACTCATTTCATATGATTGGTGAATGTCGGGTGCGTAGTGACAAAGAGGAAGAAGAATCCGCAGCGCTCATTTTATTTTGGCACTAAAAGTTAAGTTAGTGCCAAAAACTTATTCTTACAAAAAGTAGAGAAGTTAAAAACTTGGACAAAGCTGAAAAGTAGTAGTTAATAAAATAATGAATAAATAAATTTATCTTTATGTAAAATTGTGTTTTTTTTTCTTTTTCTCCCGATTATACGTACTTTATATTATACCTACTTTAGATTTATTTTCATCCAAGGCCCATTCGCTACTGGACACATTGTATAATAAGGCATCAAGAGCTACATGACTTTGGGGCAATCAATTGCGCTTTTTCTCACAAAAAAACGGTACATTTTCGATTTTAACAAGAGTAGGTACATTTTGTGTAAAATGAAAAATTATATAGGTACAATATACATATATTTTAACTTTTAACTAACCTAACATAAAACAAGGTTTGTTATAAAATGCCATTGGGAGATATTGTAGATAGCGACCTCTAACAGACGGTCAAAAACTAACAAGTGACTTGTTTGGAACTCACAAAAAAATACCAAATTTCAATGTCATAGTGTTTTCTGGAAAATATAAGGTTAAAATTTAACGCCCAATACCTCCAAAAAAGACAACAGACCTATGATTTATACAGAAAAATTGTCTTACTTTTTTATACTTTACCAAACCCTAAATTTATGTGTTATTCTGAAACACCCTGTACATGTTCTTAATTAAATTTTGATAATAAAACTAGAAATCGGTTTTCCATTTATGAATATATGTATAATTCTATACAGGTATGTTTTGTCGCTTTTGTAACTCGATCGATACAGGTCTGTATTCACATACTTCCACCTATTTAATTACTAAAAATACTGTACAGAGAATTTAGGTACCTACCTTAATGCGTTTTAAAACTAATTTACACTATTTACATGATACCCATTAAGTAACTATTTCATATGTGAATGCACATCTAAAAATTGTTAATTAATTAATGTGAAAATATGTATAGCAAAACATAACAATTAATTTAAGTTTAAAAATACAATGAATACATAGGTATATTGTATATTACAAATTGGCCTCGTATATGAAAGCAACTGTGTACCAATCAATCTTTTCCTTACATAATACTCTGTTTTACTTGGTAATTACTGTTTCGCTTGAAATATTAAACTAGTAGAAAAATTATATTACGAGTACCTACTAGGACCTACACATATTTTGATAGGTGTAAACCTACCTATGTAAAAACTATAAGTTAACATTACAACAAAAGTTATCTGGAATATCTATGTATGAAGGTTGAAATGTCCCTGTTATGTGCAAAAAAATGCAATTTCAAAAAGAAAAATTATAACCAGAAACTTACCCTTTTGATGTGAAGTAAAAATAATCCAAAAGCAGAAATCCTCCTTACACGTCAAATAAAAAATGAACCGGCCTAATGTTCAAAGTAGAACTAGACCATAAATTACAAACGAAAGATGTAAATAAACTAACAACAAATTTGAGAAAATTTCTTTTATATAGTACGAAGACGTAGGTATCCTCTGCGCATGAAAAGTGAGTAATTGCGATAAGATTACGTTTCAGCGGACAACACGACGCGAAATGCACTAGGTCCACGTGGGGAGTCCTAAAGTCTACTCCGTTTGGCCTAGACCATCACGACAACGCGATTCCTCGACATACAGCATCGCCTTGGTATAGATCGCCTGAATCACGCGATATCTTCCACTAGCGGGCCTCGCTTTCATTTGGCAACTCGGTGGCGTGATGTCGGTCGCACCCCCTCTCTACGCTATTCGTTCTGAGTTCTGGCGTGGTGTTCTCAGCTCAGGTTAGGTAATTGTCTGCGGTATTGTTACCTATTTGAATACCTATATTGGCGGAGAAATGTCTATATGATAAAAAGTGTAGAGGAAGGTTAGTTACGCATACGTTGCTGAAAATTTAAACGTAAAATAGCCCGTGCTCAAATGTGATTGTCACATTATTATTTCTTAAACTTAACAATACATGGGCGTTCACAGAAAAAATTGCAAGGGGCGAGGGAAAATTCGTTGTTTGAAATACCGTGTGCCATCGCACGAAGTGAGATTTTTCATCGAAAATAAGATAAAAAGTTCCTATCAACAGTATCAACGTTGAGACTGTCCGTATTTTGTTTCTTATTATTGAAACTTATGTCGCCTATATCGTCTTCCTGCAACGGCATCGTTGCGTTGCGTACCGTTACATTCAAGTTTTGGCAGCATAAGTACACTCATTTTTAAAACTGAAAGACACAAAAGTGGGGGTTGACCTTTATTTGATCAAAATTTAAGTTTGTCAACCAAATAAAAACATACTCTTTCACAAATATTTAATTAGTGGTATTTTTAAAATGTCTCCCTTTTTAAAAACAAGCTTGTGCTCGTATAATAATAGATGAAGTGAAAATTTTTATTTCACAGCAGTAGCGGCTCGTGGTGGGTTTATATTTGAAGGTGAAATGTAGATTGATACCATATTGAATTTTTGCCTCATTAGAAGAAAAGGGAAATTCTCTTCATAAGTATTTATAATTCATGGGATTTTCATAAATAAATACCCAATACCGAAGATATTGAACATAATTATAATTTTGTTAAAAAAATCAAGTAGCCATGTGAAACAATTTTTCTATAAATTAATTTAGTATTTCTTATTTTTAATACCTACTTTTTAACACAGCAAACTTTTACATAACAATAGCAAGAGCAATGGACGAAACAATATAGATAAATCAAAACGAAAGTAAATAGTAAATTTAAATTTTATCACAAATGTTCGAAGTGCATACCATTACTATTTATACACATCTGCACTCGTTCATAAATGCTCTGAGTAGCAGATTGGATCATGTCATGAGCTATTGAGTTTCTCTTCAAATATTTATTCTCAATTCTTCCTCATTGTCATATCGCCTTGTGTATCGTTAACATAACCATAAAAGAAAAGTTGATGCTGGTCACATCACGACTTTTCGGCGGCCAAGTAACTGGACCACCAAGTAATGGTATGACAATTTTGGGAGGAAACTACACCATTGGTGGTAAATGTAGCCTCGTCAGTAAACATAATGTTATTGAAAAAACTGCGATCACTCAGTATTTCTTCTTGAATCTAGAAACAATATTCTAACCGCCTTATGTTGTCGCCCTCTTCCAGAGTGTGAAGAAATCTGGGCTTAAAAGGGATTCTTTTATTTCTACAAAGACATCTTCAAATTTTAATACGAGATAAATTTAAATTGAGATACATTTCTCTTACACTTGCCCTGGGATTCCTGGACTAAAGCTAAAATAAAGGAAACAAAAGGAATTATTTGGAAAAAGTGAATAATTGCTAACTAATTAGAATATATAATTATCACTTAAATATGTTAATAAGGGTATTTATTTCTACACAAACACTTTAAGTACACACTAGTCTCTAGATGTAGACGCCAGTTTATGTTATCGAAAATATTTAAACAGTGTACATTAGTGATATCAAACAATTGTAATTTATTGTCAATTGCATGTCACCGATTTTTGGTACTAACCTGAGATAATATTTTACTTGGCAAAAGCATAATATATTTTTTGTTATATCGATTTAAAGACTAGTTAATTCTTTCAAGAATCATTTAGACTAAGGTTTCGAATGTGTTTAACAAATAAAATCAGCTGATTTTATCATACAAAAATAGATCAACTAAACAAATTCAAGGCTACAAAATAAGCAACAGTTTTACTTATTGATCAATTATCAAGTCGTTTTCGAGAATCAAAAATCCCTTTTACCTTAAGAATTGTTATTTTTTAATATTAAGTAGTATACAGTAGTTAGGTTAGGTTAGTATACTCAAATTTAATTAATTTTCATTGTTTTTTAAACAAAAAACGATCAAATTTTGATCATAAAAATAAGGTGTATCATTCCAGTTTAATCATCAAACGGTTTTTAAAGTAATCAGAAATGTAATATTATTTTTGTTAACACCTTGTAGATGAAAAACAGAAACATTTACTTAAGGTACATTTGGTTCAATTAGTCTATTTTGATCTCGGCAATCTTAAGCTAAGGTATAATCCATTCCTCATGAAAATCTTCCTCAGTGTACTCCTGAAAGGAATAAGATTTAAATCAACTTTTACCTATGTATGAAATAAAGTCATTGAACCACCAAACAACATTTGTTAACATTATTCTAAAATTGTTTTATTTAGTTAGACACTTCTTATTTGGTGCTTGTATTTGTTTATTTGAGTGTAACGTGTTTCTAGAATGTTATAAAATAATATACGTGGAGTTATTTTTTTGTGATCGTCATCCCCTTGAATATGCCATAACTTTTTGTTTGTACGCACAAGTATCTAATTTTCGAATATAAAGTTGTTTTTTTGAATATTTCTCATATTTGGAGGAACTATCTATTATACACATTTAAATAAGAAAATGGATGTATGGATGTACTTCCTAAAACTCGTTCTAAGGGTAGTAAGGTCGTATAAAAAGAAAACATCTTTGGGAACATTGGTTTAAATAGATATACTCTTAAGAAATATTTTACAAACTATGTTTGTTCTACGCAACTTTTATGCAATTTTGGAATATTTTACACAAGTATCTTCTAATATTGCATAATATATTCGAAGTGATTAACATATTGTTTTCGTCATCCTAATGTTCTGTTTTACAATTAGTAATAGTAGGTATAATTTTTTTCAAATCGGACGATTCTTATTATTCTGACTAACTGTCCATAGTCCTCCACGTACGTACAATGTTTGTAAACCTTCGTGGTTCATCCGTTCACTATAATTTAATGAAATACAGCGGCGGCTCGCCAAAAATTGAAGTGATAATATTTTTACAATGAAGCCTGGAACCCATATCGTTTTAGTAATTGTTATTATTTACAAAACATGTTTTATCAGAATCAATAAAATAAACAAAAACAGGTCATTTTTTCACATCGTTATGAAGTTGAAAAATGGAATGTTAATATCAAATTGCAAAAAAGCACTTGAATGTATCTATTATTATACATATTTTGCAAATATATCTAGGGATCGGCCACCCCTAATTGTATTTTGCAAACTTCATTCGAAATTATTTCATCACTATAGTACTCGTAGTAGCGTAGAAATAATCTCCTAAAAAAAGATAAGTGTCCCATTCTTCATTATCAAAACACGACTGCTTTAATTTTTGCGAGCTGTCACTGGTGAAATACTTAACCTTTAGTATGGGAAAATTTGACATGCAACGATCTTGTGGCAGACACTTCAAATATTTATTAATAAGTAGGCTTGACCTTTGGAAGCTGACCATACGAAACGTGAGCGGTTCTGTTATCTTAAAATTAACGAGCACTTTTTAATCTGAATACCTACCTAACGAACTTGAAAGTGATAAATTTGATGCAAAATTTCTTTGATACAGTAAATAAATGGCATACATTTATTTGTTTGAACGTTTGAGTTAAAAGATAAATGTATTCCAATAGTAGAAATATTTATAGAACTTGGCTACTTTTCAGATTTACTTGATAAATGTTATCTCTGTAAAAAATTTTATTATTTATTTTGAACAATATTCTAAGTACGAATTCTTGTTGACATCTGCAGTATTGTAGTAAATTAAATTTTAAGATCCTCTTAAAATTCTCGGAAATATTAAAGCAAGAAATCTTTTTTACTATAAGCAAATTTTGATTTAAAATTAAGTAAAATTTTCAGTTTCAAAAAAGCTCATTAACACATAATACAATATGAATGTCAAGAATTACAGAAATATGAATTCCCAGTACTATTTTGTCTACAGTTTTTCCTTATTTCGAAGGCCAAGATCTACAGGAAAAGTAAGCTTTCAAAGTCAGCTACAGTTAGACTTCTTGACGTTTGATAGACATATTATAGTGTTGTAATGGTATCAACAGACGACCCTTTCGCTCAATTGGAAAAAATGCACTGACTTTGTAGAATTATTTATTTGACTTAAGTTACATAAATGTTACACTTAAGACGACTGCGACGTTGATTAACTGGTGGTTGTAATGTTAATTTTTCTCTGTTGGTCCAGATTAGGGTTTTATATATTTACATCTATTAGTGAAATAATTACTTAAACAGTCTAATGTTCGAACAAACAGATAAGGTACAAAAATAATTCTATTAGACGTGAATGACCATCCTTTGTGCTGGGGTAGTCACGGAAGTTTACTAATAATATCATGTGAATACAAATTAATTGCTTATTTACTAAATCTTTGAACTATCAGTATAGTTAAGAGGAAACAACTTATAATTAGGTAAATATGTAATGAGATAACTGTCTTAGAAATGGAATATGGGAAAATACGAGTACTTCATATGACTTGATTGATTAATAATTAATATATATAGATTTTATATCTTATAACCTAGGTAATGGTTAGGTAGGCTGGTACATTACACCTCCCTCCTTAAGAAAAAGTTAGGGTAACTTTTTGTGCCACCTTACATAATCAGGACCTTTTATAGTAAATACAATATACATAGATGGTACAATACAATAATACGATAATTATACTACAATTTATCTTTAAGTTTGGCTATTCGCATACTTCGCCTTAATGAAGTTGATTCT